ATTTCTTACTAGATGACCTTTCAGTCTCAGGCACATACACCCAGCACCTTCCACCTTCTAGGACACAGGAATCAGATTGTAGTCCTAAAAAGTTGCTTTTATTTACGAAACATAGAAGGTGCAATTGGTAAATATTACTTGGATGCTAGGTGTTACAGAACAACTGGAAAAAGGCAAGATTAAAACACAGAGAATTGCTACCCTGGGATTCAGTTTAAAAGTTACAGTGGGGGGCGGGGAGGGAGAAGTACTTGGACTCAGCACAAAAGAGTTCAACAACCCCCAAAATAAAGAAGATAAGCTGATCACATCTTACTAAATATTCCCTGTTCTACATACATCTCTGCTGTTCCAAGGGTTAGTCCTTCTCTGGTATGCTGGAAATTCCATGCCTTGTTCCTGGCTTAACTCATCGCTCCCAGCTCTTGCTCTGATCACACATAGACTCATGTTGCCTGTCTACACTGGCCTCTTGCGCAAGAATACTGTAGTGTTCTTGCACAAGAACTCGCAGCCAGTGTAGACAGGCAGCAAGTTTTTGCACAAAAGTGACTGCTTTTGCGCAAAATCTTGCCAATGTAGACACAGCCTTGGTGTCTCAGAGATGACAGATTGTAGATTTGGAAGCCTAGAAAATGTACAAGGCTAACTATTTGGGGTCATACGAAATTAAAATCAAACAAAGTTGGAACAGTGTTAAACTCCATTTCAGAGAGACATCCTTACTCATGAAAGACAGGCAAGGATTTACTTACTGTTACAAAGTCGCTTAAGTCCCATTGATGTCTTAAATGGTTTCCTGAATTTGGGGTCCATTTTGCAGGAAATACAGGTTCTTAGCTTTGCTGTTTTATCAACTGGAACATATAAATAGCTTTACTGCGTCTAACCATTGATCTATCTAGTTCAGAATCTTGTTTTCCAACAGAATGAACAGAAGAGGGCAGTTTATTGATTGATCCGTCCCCTGTCATCATCTGGTCCCAGATTCTTGTGTCAGAGATTTACGGATACCTAGAATAAGGGTTTGCATCCCTGACTATTGTGTCTTACAGCTACTGATAGACCTATCTTCCATGAAATTATCTAATTCTATTTTGAACCCAGTTACACTTTCTGTTTTCACAATATCCTCTGGCAATGAGTTCCACAGATAAATTTTGTGTTGTGTGAAGAATGTTGACTTCATTATGTTATATGAATATACAAATAGCCTTCCTTTTATACTTTCTCCCTACCGTTCATAACTGCAGACCTCTAGCATATCCCTGCACCTTTTGTCATCTTTTGACTTAGCTGAACAATCCCAGTCTTTTTAATCTCTCCCCTTTTATGCAACTTGTCCAATTCTAAAATATCTTTTTTGAGATGGTGTGTGTGTGTGTGTGTGTGTGTGTGTTTAGAACTGGAAGTTTCAACCTACAAACTTTTGAAGTGCCCAATTCATGATGTTTAAATAATGTTTTATCACACTCAAAAAGGACCAGTTTCTTTCAGGATAAGAATTCCATAACATGTTTCCTCATGCTCTGGTGACATTTTTGTTCCATCCAAACAAGAATTCAACAATAAACAGATGACTGTTTTATAAACAAAATACAATGGCCCTATTGTTTATCAGATCAATTGGCTCAAATGAATAGCTGACTTCACAACCCTCTTGTAGCTCCACTTCGCTCTACCACTTGTGTTATGATATCATCTTTTATGTCCTGTAAATAATGGCTGATACACTGCATCCATTGTAGATAAACAGAGAACATGGGACCAACCAAGGGCTCTTTTCTAGAGATTTAGGTGATGGGCATGCTCTTGATTCCACTATCTTCCTCCCCAGTCATCCATCACTTAGTTATCCATGTCAAAAGGGGAGAAAGATAAATGTCTGCATTTCCTAAAGAGACCAGGAGCTCTCTGCTTTCCAGATCCCTTACTCGTGACACATGAAATGAGGCTTATTTTTCTGAAAGTACAGAGACAATCCACTAAAAATCAGGTCCTTTAAAGGAAACTGAAGTGTGGTCTCCAAAAATCACTAATCATTTTTTTTAAATACTAGGCCATGTATCTATCTGTCTCAGTTGGTAGGTATTAGCTAGGAGAGCCTTTTACATCTTGTAGGAGGTTTCATGTGCAGCATGCACCAGGGAAGGATATGCTGCCAAACTGTATATGCTCAGCAAACTAGCTTGAGTTTTAACATACAATTTTTGTGTCAGTCCATGTTACAGTTCTTTTCTAACCTGCTTTCACATGAAGATGCTTCCCTTCAACTTCTTGCTGCATGGAATATATTGCTTGATAACTAGCACGTCTCTCTCAGCGAGGATTACAAGGGGAGTGTCTGTTTTTGCAGCTGACACATGCTTTCTTTGTCAAGTGGCATAGGATTCCACTGTACAAGGCACAAGTTTTCTCCCTCAACAATTTGCCATTGTGATTTATGCATCCTTCTCCAGGCCTGTGACCAAGCAAGAACCCTGAGCATCATAGCTTGTTGTACATTAACCAGCGTGGGCCATTTCTTTCTGTACTTAGAAATGGCATAGAGACTAGAATATACAAAATGACCATTTACACAGACAGTATCTAATGCCTCTGAACTAGATAGATTACAAAATGCCTTGCTAGGTCAGAAACTGTCTTTTTGTTCTCTGTTTGTAAAGCAGCCAGCACAAAAGGTTCCGGGGTCAGACTAGGATTCCTAGCCACTGTAGTAACATAGCTAAACTTGTGCACACTAATTCATAAACTGAATTCAATGTAAATTCAACCTGGTTTAAAAATCTTACACTCACCACTAACTGGCTTCCATTAAACACACACACATACACACACACACACACACACACCTCCAACATGTTTTTGGATATACAAATGTCAGGCTTTTGAACACACAGAGTTGGGCATACAAAATTAGGAGCTTGATTTAGAGCAGTGTTTCTTAAACTTTTTAAGACCAAGGAACACCAAACAATAATTTTTTTTGAGGAATTTTGTTGAGGGGAGGGAAAAAAACAGGGTCGGGGGAAAGTTATTGAGGGTGAAAAAAAGATTGCCTGCCCCTTTAAGGATGGCCATTTTGAACTCAGTTGTTCTCCGTGGCACACCACTGATTGCCTTGCGGCATACCGGTGTGCTACGGAACATAGTTTAAGAAACACTGATTTAGAAGCTTCTCTGGAAAATCTGGTCTTATGTATATATGTCTCACTTCTCACACCCAAACCCTCCTAGTCCACTGAAATGCAACAGCTGGTAGTGAAATATATCGTGAGTTCATAAGCAACCAAAACTGCTGGGCTATGTCTACACAGCAGCCTTATTTCAGAATAATGTCAGTCTTTCCAAAATAACACCGGGAGCATCTACACAGCAAGCCTGTTATTTCAAAATAAATTTGAAATTATGGGCTTCTTATGCCGATGCCTGTAACCCTCATTGTATGAGGTATAGGGGAAATCGGGGGAAGAATGCTGCGTAGACCTCGTCAAAAGTTGAAATAAGCTATTTCGACTTAAGCCACTCAATTAGCATAGCTCAAGTTGCAGAGCTTATTTTGAGTTTAGCCCTGCTGTGTAGACATACCCTGACAGAACAGTTGTAAAGAACATGAACAATGCTTTAACAAATTGAAATCGCAGGGGCAATTTAATATTGAAGGTATTTACTCAAATAAGCATTTGGCGAGAACATCAGGATTAGCTCGTGTTTTCTTTAAACGATGTTCTTTAATTAGATCAAATTTACCGGGACTGGTTTCAGTGTTGACTGACAGACAGCACTTCTCTTAGCACAAGAGTAACCTATCATGGGACCGATATATCAACAATGGCAATAGCCAATTGCAAAAAAGTAAGTTTCCCATGGAGGATCTGTACTTGGGAGGCAGGGACGAAAGCAAAAGTGATATGATGCAAATACAGGGCCAGACGTACTAACTGGATATTGGTAGGCAAAAGATTTTCCAAGAGAAGTGACAGAAGAGTACAAGCTGTATGCAATTCCTTCTCCAGAGTAGTAGCTGAACAGGGGCTTGGCTACTCTATTTGGATACAGAGCATCAGTGGAGATTCTATCCCGAGGTCCAGTTGGCTTTCAATCTGCCCTTCATGGCAGAACACTATAAGGGTTCTAAAGCTTCAGAGGGGTACGTAAGCTAGTTCACAAGTTGGGAAAAAATATGCAAATTGCAAACCACAATTTACATATCATTTTCTGCTTTTCTTTCAGAAGAGGCTCTTCCGAAATTTGGCACATCTACGTGGCACCAAATTTTGAAAGAAAGTGCTCTGTCAAGCCATCTCTTATTCCTCGTAGAATGAGGTTTACAGGGTTGGTGAAAAAGCGTGTCCGTTCTTTCGAAAATGTTTAGTGTGCCAGCCAGGTAACGTCTTTATTTATACCTTTGTGATGGGTCCCAAACCTGGTCTGAAAAACTAAGAGTTTTGAAAGAAACAAAGGGGTTTGAAAGAAATGGCCCTGGAAACAGGGTTACATGTTTTGTAGTTGGTTAGCAAGAGGCTACTATTTTCAGTCTTTCCTATGTCTTCCACTGCATTCATCACCCGATGTGAGAGCCTACAGGGAAACTCCTTGGTGCAGTATTATTATTGCTGTGCTTAGGATTCTCAGTGAAAGTGGCTAGATTTTGTTTTGCTGTTCCCACTGGAATGGCCCAAATGCATCAGATTAACGGTCCGTCTAGTTCAGTGTTCTCTCTGACTGACTGAGACCAGTAACAGCTGCTTCAAAGGAACATGCAAAACTCCTCGCAGTAAACATTTGTGGGCTAACGTGATCACTGGGAAAACAGTAGTGAGAGTCAGAAATGTGACAGTTTAACCATATAAATATCTGATCCAGCTTCTGAGTCCTGACAAAATGTTGGCCTCAGGAATCTGGCGGGAGTAAGTACCATAGGGTAAGGGTTACTAAAGTATAACATGGTTTTGTTTACCTTTATCATCTTGTTGCCTTTTTGTCTCCTCTCTTAACAGCGCCAATGTTCTCAGTTTCTCTTGGCGTCTCTCCCTGCCCACGGTCATTTTCATCACATGTTTCCAGACACCTGTGTCCTTTTTGAAATATAGTGACAAAACTGCACATGATATTCCTGGTGAAGAGGAACTGTGGACATCTGCAATGACAGAACATTGTCCATATTCTCCATCCCTCTTCCGCCAAGCCTTTTGTTTGGCACCGCAGCCTGCTAGTTCAGTCATGGGAGCTGCAGCCCCTCAACAAATCAAACTGCTGCTTCAAAGAATTAAAATATGGATTTAGGAGTCTGTCAATTTTTTTTATAAAATTACTTTTAGTCTTGGAAGTCATTTGTGATCCTCCTTAATTCAACCTTCCAACAAAAATATTACTTAAATGTCATGTCTTGGACAATTAGCAAAAGCTCCAGCTGTACAGCGTGAAAGAAATACTTGAAAAACTCTTTCAGATTAGCTGGAGTAGGAGAATTGTCTGATGGACTGAAAGTTATCTTAAGGCTTATAAATAAAAGGTAATGTCTAATAGCAATGATTCAAGCGGGGGGAGAGGGCGAGCAGTATGCAGTGTGGTATTGTAGGGTGCTTTGTTCGGTCTGGTTTTAATTAACATTTTATTAATGATTTGGAAACAAGGGTAAACTGTGTTAATTAAATCTGAGGATGCAACGAAATTGGTAGGTGCTGAAAGCCCAAGTGAAACATGGAAAGTAAATAACAAAGGGGAAAAGTGCAGGCTAATAATTCTATAAGGAAAGACTATAAAGTACAGAAATTTTTTCAAAGGGAGGAATTTGGAAAGTAGGAAGACGAAAGAAAGCTAGCGATGATGGCAGATAGCAAACTACAAACAGTCTAGTAGTGCAAATTGGTGGCAAGAATAGCCAAAGTAGCTTTGGGCTTCAAAAACAGTGTTATTCCAATCTGGTGCAATTTTAAATGGCTCTGGCAATAAGACTTCTACCACTTACCACAAAAATCTGTTCCTCATGTTTGTTCTAAATCACACCACTAAGAAATCTTTTCTGGACTTTACCCTTACTTTTTTTTCTTTCTTTGCCTATCACCACCCTGATAGCATTCTACCACCCTGCGAGGAGAGGGGAGAAGGGCTTGTCACTACCAGACCTTACCCCCCAAACTCTAGCAGGGACACACCCCACGCCCTGGTCCAGTTTCATAGTAGCAGAGGCCATGCAGTCGTAGCAGTGAAAGTCATTAACCCTTTAGCGATTTTGAACTCGAGACTGGATGCCTTTCTAAGATCTGCTCTAGGAATTATTTGGGGGGATGTTCTGTGGCCTGTGTTAGCTGAACATAATGGTCCCTTCTGGACAGGTGCACTGACAGGGAGGGGGACAAAGGGATAGCTGCCCTGGGCCCCTGTGATTCAGAGGGGCCTGGGGTTCCTGCTTACCGTTGCTGCTACTGTGGCAGCAGTGACAGCCAGACCCATGGGCCCTTCAAATCACGGCCAGTGTGCTACACTCCAGGTGGCTCTCATGGCTAGCATAGGGGGAGGGGTTAAAGGTCATTCCAGGCTGGCTGCCCCTAGCCCCGCCCCTTCCACCTGAGGCCCCGCCCTCTTTAAAAGCCCCGAGGACCCCCCCCACACACATCTTGCTTAGGCTTCCACAGAGGCTCTCGGCACCCCTGTTTCTGGCCTTTGAATTTATGCTTTCTTCTGAGCTAAAATCCCCTGCTTTAAGGTGGCTGAACATGTGCATGCCCAGTTCGTCTGCATGTTCTCATCCAGAACTTCAGCTGAAAGACATGCACCAAACTGAGCAAGTAGGCCTCAAACAGCTATAGGTTTACCAACAATTTAAATATCAGCATAGAAAGTACGCTTATTAAGTTTGCAGATTATACCAAGCTGGGAGAGGTTGAGACTGCCATGGAGGGTAGGGTCGTAATTCAAAATGACCTGTATAAATTTGAGAAACGGTCTGAGGTAAACAGGATGAAATTTTAAAAAGACAAATGCAAAGTGCTCCACTTAGGAAGGAACAATCAGTTTCACACAGACAGAATGGGAAGCGACTGTCTAGGAAGGAGTACGGCAGACTGGGATCTAGGGCTTATATGAGTCAGCGGTGTGATGCTGTTGCAAAAAAGGCAAACATGATTCTGGGATGTATTAACAGGTGTGTTGTGAGCAAGACACGAGAAGTCATTCTTCCGCTCTACTCTGCTCTGGTTAGGCCTCAGTTAGAGTATTGTGTCCAGTTCTGGGCACCGCATTTGAAGAAGGATGTGGAGAAATTGGAGAAGGTCCAGAGAGGAGCAACAAGAATGATTAAAGGTCTAGAGAACATGAGCTATGAAGGAAGGCTGAAAGAATTGGGTTTGTTTAGTTTAGAAAAGAGAAGACTGAGGAGGGACATGATAGCCATTTTCAGGGATCTAAAAGGGTGTCATAAGGAGGAAGAAGAAAACTTGTTCATCTTGGCCTCTGAGCATAGAACAAGAAGCAACGGGCTTAACTTGCAGCAAGGAAGGTTTAGGTTGGACATTAGGGAAAGGTTCCTAACTGTCAGGGTGGTCAAACACTGGAATATATTGCCCAGGGAGGTTGTGGAATATCCATCTTTGGAGATAGTTAAGAGTAGGTCTAGATAAACGTCTATCAGGGATGGTCTAGACAGTATTTGGTCCTGCAGTGAGGGCAGGGGACTGGACTCGATGACCTCTCAAGGCTCCTTCTAGTCCTAGTATTCTATGATTCTATGGTTGGCCAAACAACAACAAAGGGCCTGGTCCAAAAATCCACTGAAAAGAGTCTTTCCACTGATGTCAGTGAGCTTTGGATCAAACCCTACTGGAATACACAAAAAATCAGCGACAATATCTGAAACACTGCCGAAAATGTTACATGCCGTGATCTTCAGGCGGGATAAGTAAGAGTAATTAGATGGAATTACAGAAAGGAAAAATTAAGGGTCAATATCAGAAAACATTTCTCAAAGGCTTTGGTTGGATCAGGCATGTGGAACAGATTTCTGTGGTAAAGAGTGGGAGACCTATTGTCCAGGCCATTTACAATTGCACACAGATTAAAATGCTGAGGGAACACCCAGCATTATAAGCGAAATGAGGCAGATGATGTAATCAGTCTTTCCCAGTACTAAATTATACTAAAGAAGGTGACTATCCTGTTCATAGATAAAATATATGGCTGCAAAAATGAATCCAGCTTTTGGTCTTGTGTGTACCTGAAGTGAAGATGAAGGAAAGAAAGAGAAAAGCCAGATTCAACTGAAATTGCTACATCTTAGTAGGGAGAGGACACATGTCAAAACAGAAAGAGAACTGTGAGGAATACTGATCAGTGAGAAAGACCCCTAGCAGCCACTGGATGCCACTGCTGGTCACTATGCAGTCACGTCAAGAAAACTTTATGGTAAAAGAATTTTAGGATAGCAAAGACAAAATTTTCCATTTCTGCCATTTAGATTATTAATATTTGAAACTAATTTTGTCAGGAGCTAAATCTCTACTGAGTCTTGCAGGAGCAGAAACTTAATCAAGGGTAAATTATTGTTTATAATTTTACTTTTACTAAGCAGTCTATAAAAATCTAACTCTACTTTTCCTGCTTGGTAACTGTATCTGACAGTTTCCATTAACCATCAACTAAAATTGCAGACTCAGACCAAACAAGGTGTTATAGCCGCAAGCTATTAGAAGGCCCCCTTTGTCCTAACAAAGACCCTGGGGTGAGAATATTTTGCATGAACAGACGCTAGAATAACATTAGAGTTTCTTAGCTCTGCATTGCAGTCTGTATGGAGTGAACAGTCCTGTTTTATACACGGCACAGATCAATCTAAAATTTCCCAACTGGGTGCCTTTGGAAGTAATACCGCTAATATTCTATGGTGAGAGACCAGACAAGGTTCAAATAAAGAGGTGGTGTAATAAATAAACATGAGGGCAGTGTGGGAACAGCAATAATTGCTTTCCATGACAAGATTTGCATAGCAAACATTTCTGATTAATGTACAGCCAATGTTATGTAAGAAGGAACCTTCCATATCGTCCCCAAATCTGCACCTTCCAGTCTTGAAGTTGCTGCACCTTCCACCAGCAAAATTAGTCATTGTTTACTCAAAGGCAGATAGAGCTAAATTATCTATTTAAACATTTGAAAGAGTTTATTCTTGCAGCCTCCTTTTGGTTTCATTTATGTAACTGAAAGTGGGAATTATGCATTTTACAGAGCTTGCAGAGAGAGACGATTAGCATTTCAGTTAATTCAGTTGTTAAGGAAATGGGCTAACTTTTGGCCTCTTCTCTAGTAAAATTCAATGAGCTACATTCTCTTGAAAATTGCAAGCAAGAAGATAAAGACATTGCATGTCGTGTTTGTTACCTTTTAAGAAAATCCACTGCACAAAAGGTTTCCTGGCTAAGTTGTCAGACTGTTTTACAGTCTCTGAATACAAAGCTCCTCCCATTCCCCTTCTTTCTGCTGGTTGGTATAACTGCTACTTTGCCACCACTGACGTATGCACAGGGCAGTGAAATGAAGCACTAAGTACAATGAAACTGCATTCTTTATAGTCTGTTTTCTGCAACGTTCTGTTAATTCTTTTCAACTAAAACTTTTGTGCTTTCGAAAAAGAACTGTAATCCCACTTGAAATCTGGCTTTGACTTTGAGATATTAAAGAAAAGAGAGTCTGAAACTTGTTTGGAAAAGAGGCAATAAAAAATTGGCATCAGTTGGGATGGGAGGAGGTGACTTGAGTTTATTTTAAATGAATTCCTGTGTGAAAAATGTTCTGTTTAAGTGACAACATTTTGCAGCAGTGATGCACTTATAGAAGCATAAATGTGAGTTGCTGCTCTCTCTTAAATCAAAAATAATGTTTGGAGGCAACAATTAATACTCTTGGGCTGATAGTGATAGGTTATCCCTGATCTTCACTAAAAAATTGATATTGAACTAGGATTGCCAACCCACCGGAGTTATCCTGGAGTCACCAGGCTTAAAGATGAATCTTTAATTAAAGATGAAACCTCCAGGAATACAGCCAACCAATGACATCCCTATGTGGGGCAGAAGACACTCTGCTACAGATACCATATCACCTCACCCTTACATAGCTCTTTTCATCTAAAGAGCTTAAGGTACTTTACAAAGGAAGTCAATATGGTTATCCCCATTTTACAGATGGGAAACTGAGGTGACTTAGCCAGGGTCATTCAGCAAGCTAGAGGCAAAGACAGGACTGAACCCAGGTTTCAGGAGTCCTAATCTGATGCCCCTATCCAGTGGCAATTAAATGTATTCTAAAATGATCA